CGTTTGTATTGTGCTAGAAATGTTATATTTAAAGAAGTACTATTACGACAAAGATACTAATTTGTCCGGAAATGTTTTGCGGGTCTCTGTTAGTATTGCAGTAATTTGTATAGTTCATCATTATAAGAAGCATTTCACAGAGCTATTCAGTTTTATTACTAAAACTTAGCATTTTCTAATTTAACAATTTTAAAATAATGTTTATTGAAATAAAGTCACACGTAATTTTATGTAGTTTCAGTTATGAAGGTGCCATCAAACGTCAAGGCTAGAATCAAATAATCAATATGTAAATACAAAAGCATCTTATAATAAGAAACAAAACCGGAGTTGTTATACTTCTCTAACGTTTTTGAACACAATTCGCAAATTATAAGCAAGGATTATTTATATAAAATACTTAATGAACTAGTCAAAAATATTTCAGTCACAAGTTTTTAGTAGACTTTTGTGTCTTTATCAGCGAAGCGATTCTTAAATGAATTCAGAACAAAATTTTTAATAAATTACCACTACGTTCACTTGACAACTGTGTTGCATTTACAGTACTTTACTCCAAATTTATAAATATATTAACTTTAGAAACTAGCAATTACAGTTACTTTCTTTCATTACGTGGCGTAGGCTTTAATATATGCAGAGAAATAACACACTTTTCGTCGAAACGTTTATGTGACGTAAATAGTTCACAGGGACGTGCGTGCACCCTGAATATTTCAACTGAGACACCAAACATCTGAACATTCATATCATACCCGATGTAGTTTTCCTTTTATTTTTCGTAACTGCTAATATGTCTACTTTTTTTGGCTCGTCATCAAATGCGTCCCCTACAATACATTCCAGCAGTAATTCAGTATAATTTCAGTGTTATAACTCTACAATTGCTTACGTTACTATATGAAAACAAAACTATCTCTGGTGGAACATGTGCTTTGACATTGTCTCGAGTTCATCTCTATTTGATACCAAACGTGTAACAAAGCCTTCCTTAGATGGCTGAAAGTCCTTTTGAAAACATCTTAATACATACACCTTATGAAAGCTATTTCAATATTAATAACAACAACGCTTTCTATACGGTGAATAACAATAACACTTTATATATATTGATAATATAGTATTTTAAAAATCACATCAACATAAAAATAGTCCTTTACAATTATTTTATGTATAGAAATAACTTACAATGTATGTTGAATCAATAGTAACGGTGTTTTATATTGTACAAACAGTAACGGTGTTTTATATTGTACAAACAGTAACGGTGTTTTACATTCTAAAATAGGCCCGGCATGGTCAGGTGGTTAGGGCGCTCGACTCACAATCTGCGGGTCGCGGGTTCGAATCCCCGTCACACCAAATATGCTCGCACTTTCAGACGTGGGGGAGTTATAATGTGATAGTCAATCCTACTATTCGTTGGTAAAAGAGTAGCCCAGGAGTTGGCGGTGGGTGGTGATGACTAACTGCCTTCCCTCTAGTCTTACACTGCTAAATTAGGGACGGCTAGCGCAGATAGCCCTCGTGTAGCTTTGCGCGAAATTCAAAAAAGAAACAAACAAACATTCTAAAACTAATACATTTGTAGTGAACGAGCGGATGAAAACAGAACTTTATATTGCACCAATGCACAAAACACTAAAGGTGTAACAATAGCAACAGTATTTTATATGTTATCAACAGAATTAGCAATTTTACGTAAATTACAGATGTTATGAAACTGACGTATTTAACAACATCGTCTTTACAAAAATCCTTTGCTGATATCTCGGTCAGCAGAATATTTCTTTTTTTTACTACACAAAACGATAAAAAGTGGATCATTAAGTACATATTTCATAACTGATTTCAATAAAACACCAGAAATAGCAAACGAATGCACACACTCAATAATTACAGTTTATGGTCGTGGATGTTCGAAAAACATTACAAAAACACATCGAACTAAAATGAAAATATAAATACTTTTATGCAAAGTTTAACACAAAATGAGTACTTTTATTTAAATCTATGTTTTTGAACGCAGAGAAGTAATTGTAATCTCCACATTCTCTTTCAAAATTTAGATAATTTTCACCGAACGTAATTAATTTCTCATTTAGAACCACTAGATTTTAGTTATGTATAGCAAAACATACACATTACTCTGTTTAACATTACTACCGTAAGTAACACATACATTTATTTACTGAATAAATAAATAAATAATTTGAGATTACTTACAAAGAAAGGAGATAAATGCGTTTACTGAGGATAGGTAATAATTATGAACCTTCGAATTTAGGAATCGTTCAATTCTAATATATGACATGCAACTTATAACACGAAAATCTTGAGTTTTTTCATGTTTTTTTTCACTTATCTGGAAAGAAGTATTAGTAACGATAACGCGGGAATTCTAGCCAATTATCGTCAACATACCACCAACATGTTGCTTTTTTTTTTGGCTTCAGACACACACATACGTAATTAGAAGTTATAGCTTGACATTTCTGTTCGACGTCACTAGTTACGGTACTGAGTGATAGCAGCTAAACTATCCAAAATTTGGAGGATTAATAAATAGCAGTGATAGCTATCATATAATAATAGAGGATTATTAAATAGCAGTGATTGACCTTCACATTATAACGATCCCACGACCGAAAGGACGAGCATGTTCGGTGATGGGAATTCGAACCTGCCAGACTATAGAAAAGTTATACTAAACCTAAATATATATATATATATATATATATATATATACATATAATGTAAACATGAATAATATTTAAACAGTTAAGTTTTGCATAAAAAGATAGGACTGCCTTACAAACAGCAAGACCAAATCTGTGATGAAACACAATTTCTGCAGTCAACTCCAAAAACTAGAACACATACCCCACGTTATCGCCTGTGCTCTGGTGTCTCTGTTTTTGTTTTGTTACATTTCTTGCCTAATGTATTGTATTTTCTAAGTCTCCGAATTTTCTAATGATTTTTTATCTAGATTTCACAACATATATGTTATAAACATTTTAGGGAAACAAAATTATGTGTTTCTCTCTTATCCAATGATATTAAAAGAGATGGCTGTCCTAACAGATGAAGTTCAAAGCTTCGCACCCAATTTCATTCATTACCTAGCGTTATAAAAGTTGGCATAGCGAGAAAACATTCGGTCATATATACAAGAGCTAATAGATAGCGAAGTATTTCGATGGAGCATAAAACAGAAATTTGGGTTTTTAGATAATTAAATACGTATATAAAACAAAACCAAAATATCAAAAGTGAAACTCAAAACTAGAGCTGTCACTCAAAACAAAATTCAAAATTATAATGCTTATCAAAACAAATTCAAATAAAATATATAAATGAATACATTTTGTTGTGAGTGACAGTTCTGGTTTCAAGTTTCACTCCTGATATTTTAATTTTGTTCTCTATATATTTTTTCACCATTGTTATATGGTGCTGAATGTATCGTCTTTATGCACTTGATGTAATATATATTATTAGACTTTTTTTACTGGGCCTGGCATAGCCTAGTGGTTTGGGCACTCGCCCTTTCAGCCGTGGAGGCGTTATAATGTGACAGCCCCTTCTACTATTTGTTGGTAAAAGAGTAGCTCAAGAATTGGCGGTGGGTGGGGTTGACTAGCTGTTTTTCCTCTAGTCTATCACTACTGAATTAGGGATGGCGAGCGCAGACAGCACTCGAGCAGCTTTGGGCGAAAATCAAAACAAACCAAAGAACTCGTTTTATTGAAACATATATATATATACCCAAGTACACCAAAACGCACGTTATGGATAGGTAGACGGCAAGATAACGAATGACGAATTAAACCCAGCAACAGGTGAAAGGATGAGCAGATAAAAAGGGTTAGGGTGATAAGCAAGTAGACAGGCAAAGTAAACAGACTGACAGGAGATACACAGAACGACACTTCCTTTTATCATAAAAAATATACATATTTTTCTTATATAAACGAAGCACTTGAGGCGAAAAATATGCCTTACCTTTATGTCGAGTGAAGCATGTTTGGGTTGGGTAATGAGGTCGAAGTTTTTCTCTTGGTTGACTCGCTGGTTTTCATTGTCAGTTGAACAATGAACCTAACAAAGACCAGGCATATTTAAAACTTATAACCATTAACATTCTCACATACAAATTGTAAGTTATCAGGCTGGTGTTATTTTCAACAAAATTTATAGTAATCCCAAAAAGGCAGCACAAATGAAAACAATAAAAATATAAATAGTGCACGATAACATTAGAGCCTTTCCTCTTTACAATAACCTAGCAACAATAATCTACAATATACGATAGCGTAATGAAATAATTCAAACAATTTAAATTTATTTACACTAAAAAAAAAAGCGCGAAAAAGTTAAAGATTTAAAAATGCTATTATAACAATATTACTGAATCAAAATGTTTCAAACCATGTTATCGTCAAATGGCCCAACATATTTCTACATTAAGTATATATACATTTATGCATGTGTATAGTGACTGTAGCATAACATTTAAACCCCATTCATTATCAGATAACTTCTCTTCCCCCATGGGTGTTAACAAGTAAAAAAAGTTGGTTTCACCCACAGCTGCAGGAATAACCACTCTAACGTTTCGGTAGCAAGGTCATTCTTTAATAGATTTTTTTTTCATTAATTGTATTTGTAGATATTATAAAAAAATAGAATAAATGATTGTAGGCTGGCTTTTCCATTTGAGTATCCCCAAAACACGTTTCTGGGTCGAACTTGTACAGTTCTTAGTTAGCCACTCTTATCTTATCACCATTATCATGTTAAAGCCTACGCGGTGGTATTTATCATTGTCCATGCAGCCAACAGGTGGCTGATAAAGATCAAACCTGCTGGTATCTGGTACGGAGCTACTGAGAAGATTAGCTGTACAAGGTTAGAGTTATCGACAAATACGCGTTTAAATACCAAAGCGCTGGTTTTTCAACTTTATGGAAATTAATTCGTTTAATTAGTTACTCTTGAATCGTACAAGTTTAGTGACACAAAGGTATGCATTACATTTTACATAATCCAGATACGGATATATAATTAAACTGACGTGTCTAGCAGTGACCCCGAAGATCCTGCTTTACGTAATTCGATAAGTAAAAAGTTCACCTCAACACTGTTACACGTGATGGTATGATTAACAGTTTAATATCGTTTTAGGAGCATGAAAAAGTTTATTTGAGGTGAAAAAGATACAGGCAAGGAAATCACCATTTGTATTTATAAAATATGATTGCATTATGTGGCAAACCGATGCACAGTTCTTTACATATGGACTGTGAGGGGTGAAAAAAAAAAGTTCAAAACCTGAAAAACGACAAAGATTTATGACATCTCTTGGAATTTCAAAACAGTATATATTTTTATTGTAATATTTAATATCTGCCAAAATATGTGACTTACAGTTATAGACCACTAAGTGGCAGTAAAGAAACGTTATGAAATGACAATAGTACTGTTTTCAATAATAACTACCCTTTATAGATATCAAAGTCATTGTTCTAATTAATAAAGCAATTTTATGATAACGCATCATAATCAAACAGCTGAACTCTGAAGAGAAACCATTATATACAAAATAAAAAAGACCATTGATGTTTGACTTTAAAAAATTATCAAACTGACGATCGATAACTCCCAGTAGTGTTGTATTAGTACTGAAGAGAGCTTTCGTTTTTACTTCATAAAAATCTGTATGCATCTTAATTTTCTCTTCACTATTTATAAATTGTCCACTTTATAAAATACAAAGAAGAGTACCCGTCCCCAGTGACGGGAAATGTTTAAGTTAATCTAGCAAAAGTTTAAGTTAATCTATCAATTTAAATTATATCATGGACATTAAAAAGGTTAATTGTGTTGCACTCTTGGTTTCACTCAGAGCCAAAGTTCTGAGCTACTTATAACGCCCACCGCGAAAAGTGATTGCTAAGCATTTCAGTCATGCTAAGAGCCGCTCAACAATAACATACGGTAAATCTACATTTTTATTCTTTAAGTTACGTCACATTTTGAAATGTGAATAATAGTGTGATTAATTCATAACAATTTAGTGTAGAATATCCTGCTTGCGGAATAAAATTTGGCATCAACATTATTCATGGCGTCATTTTAAAAGTGAATGTTGAGCTTTGCCTGCGTGCGCAGCTTTTGAAATGGGAGACGACGAACGCTTGGACAGACACCACGGTTTGCAATAAATATAAGATTTGACTGGTTAAACCTTCATGTGTAAAAATAGGAATAAGCATACTCGTTTATTAAATAGATAATAATAAAAACTTAAATGTTGTAGCATTAAGATTTTGGTCAACATGAGAAAACACAGACAAAAACTTAAGTGTCTGCGCTTTTACAACAAAAGTTTGTTGGTTTTTTTTCAATGTTACACATGGGTTAAACTAATGGCTTTAAATCCAACACGCCCTTGTCCTTGCACGCCCTTGCTCCTCGTAATTTTAGCCAGAATAAAAAAGTAAAAATGAAAATATATTACCCAATCAACAGAGGCGTAGATAAGCACTGGCACACGGGGTTCGTGCCTCGATTTTATTTCACAGTGCCCTGAATCCCCAGTTGGTGTCTTGAAAAATCAGAATAGAAACCTTTAAAAACGATATCATGAAACGCCGAAAATTCCCGCGCCTATGGGCCCGAGCCCCGAATCTTTTAAGCACCTAGCGACGTCTCTGCCAATCAAACACGAATAAACAGATGTAACTCAATGTTTCATAATTATCATAAATTAATCTTATTAGAAAGTTCTTCACGTCATGCATATGAAATGTCCTGTTAGTTTGTACAGAAATAATTAGAGTTTCCTGAATTCTCCTACGACATACAATTCAGTAAGGAATGCGGATATTTTCTTATGTAACCCAATCCTGTTTCTCTTAAACTTGTTTCTGTTCAACAAAGCTTAAGTAGTTTCCGTTCGTTATTTTAAACTTACTCATAGCTAAAGTTCTTCAGTGAATCTAAAAAAGTGCATGATGGCGAATGTTTCGATGTTAATTTTTCCAGTAATGGATTGATTCATTTTTCAAATTAGACATGTAACAATGATACATTAATATTTCTGTCAACCAGTGGGCAGTTTACAATATACACACTGTTGATAAAACGCCAAGAATATATCTTTTCAAATACCACTATATAAAGAATAAAGATAATAATACAGATAATGCAATAATAAAACATTGTATGTTATCTTTCTCTAGCTAAAGATCGAATACAATAATACTGTGTCGTACGTTGGAGGTAAGATCTACAATAATGTACACTTTTGTGTTGTTTTTTTACATTTAACAATTCACTACATAACATTAAAAAAAAACAATGCATATTTTAGAACTAAGAGCTGGTCATAACAATAAAAACACTCAAAGTTATATAATTCCAATTGAAATATAAATACCAATCAAAATCAGTATGTTATGTAAAGACAACAATATAAATTATCATGTTATGTAAAGACAACAATATAAATTATCATGTTATTTTTATATCAAAAAGCTGAACAAGACTGGAAATTACATTCTACTTACAGCATTGATTATGAAGATAGATAGTGTTATTTTTCCAATTACTCTTTGTTTGTTCATCTTATGCATACAATAAGCAAAACGGCCAGGTCAGATAATCCTAAGGTTAAGACATAGGCGTAACTAATTTGAACTGTAGAATAAAGAGAAGGCATCCAGTCGGTATTACCCGCCGCCTGAAGCGGCTACCCTTAACCAAGTAGCAGAAGTGATTGCCACTATGTATTATACTTGACGTTTGCAGCTACAAGTTGATTATAAGAATATACTTATTATAATTCCTTTCCAGCTACAGATGAGAGCTGATTATAGCAACATTGGCACGATTTGACATGTTTTAAAGCTTAACAAAAGTGGTAAAAACACAATCACGATTGTTTAGAGCTCAGTTCCGGTTATATAATGATAGTTATGCACGAGTAACTTTACATATGAACACTGGTTAACTTCTAAAATAACTTTATATTCAGTAGATTTCAGGATATTATGTTTGCATGGCTTCAAAATAATGCTCTGTACTAAATGTTATGAAAGAACCGAACCCAACATACATTTAAATGTACGAAAACATAGAGTCAATGGGTAGAAAGATGTTTCGGGTAAGAACAACTACATCTAACTTACACAGAGCCATGCCAAAGATTCTTAAATAAATACAGAATCATCCACGCGGTATTACTTTTCCCTAACTGCAGAAGGTTCATTTGGCAAAACATACACTTTGAGCAAAGATGAAAATAAATGTCTGCCGTAGTTCCCCATAAAGAGCGCGTCAAATCGTTATATATATATAAAAGCTTTCTGTGTAGACATGCAGCCACAGCTTTCTTCCATATGATTGATGTTCGTAAGAGAAACAGTCAGCCCTTCTAGCAAATCTTTTTATATTAATATCACTAACAAAACAGATACCATGCATTCCCTAAAAACTGTACAATTGAGAAAATAGTACAATATTAGACGTCTAGGTGCCTCAAATGTATTTCGTTACGTACATTTCTTATCTTTAACTATACTTATAGTACAGTTAAATTATCTTATGTTCAGTTATAAATCATAGTACATATACAATATCTGTGTATTAATTTTATATCTATATAATTTGGTTATAATCCAGCTAATACAGAATATATCTCTTTGAAGGGTTAAAACGATTTTTTACTGTTGCAGTTAAACTGTAATATGTTCCGAAATTATCACAATGTCTCTACTGTTCTACTAAGTTATCTTACGTCCCATATCAAAATCATGTATTTATTGCAGTGTTAAACTATGTTCCAAAATCATCACTATGTATCTACTGTTCTATTTAATTGCCTTATGTCCCGAAGGTAACTATATCATTAGTGTAGCAATAAACTACAATATATTCCAAAATCACTACTATTATCTCTTTAAGCTATCTTATGTCCCCAAATCAACACCTTACCTTTAATCATCCAGTACATATGTTCATATGCAATGCTAAACTACAATACGTTCTGAAACCACCATTACTAATATCTTTAAGCTATCTAATGTGACCAAGTC